TTTTTTTTTTTTTTTTTTAGGCAAATCGTAGCCTCGTAGACCCATTCTTTGTTCTGCACGTTGCCTTTCCCTCCGAATGCTTATTTCTTGGAAGTTGTCTGTGCCGCTACCTCATGCCCTGCCTCATTTTTAAAAACTGCCCACTGGCCTTCCATCATGTGAATAAACAGTTTATTTCGGAGGTTTTGGTGAACGTGCGGGATGGTTCTAGTCTTTTTGCAACCAGCTTTGGGCATTTTTGAGAGATGAAAGAATGGGAGTAGGGGGCTTTCCATGTCTCTTGCTTCCCAAAAAACCCGCCTTCCATATTGCAAAGCTGGAAGAAGGCATGTTCTGCTGCTGGTCCCTGATAGTGACTTTGTCCGGCATCAGCTTGTAGAGGAAATGTTCTTAAATCATTGATACCCACTGTTATTTGTCTATTCTAGAATGTTGTGTAAGATGGAATTCGTTTTAGCACAGTATTGAGTTGTTACGTTAGGCCTCGTGTATCAGCGTTTTCTGGTATTCTGAGAGGAGCATTAGGGATGTCACATGTGTCATTTGAATTCAAGTTTGCGAGCCAGATTTCTAGACCAAAGGAAAGGCATGAATTCAGGTACAAGAGCAGAGTGATGTTTGCAGGTGGTATTAAGAGGCTGGAGAAGGGCCATGCAGAGGGGAGGGATGGGAGATGGGGCTAGAATGGTAGGTTAGGGAACTAATGCATTTCCAAGGCTGATGGCTTGTCTGTACCTTGGAGAAAACTATACATACAAGATTGTTGAATTGCCGGATTGTGATTTAAAAAATGATTCACGGGGGCACCTGGGTGGCTCAGTCCGTTAACCATCCGACTTTGGCCCAGGTCATGATCTCATGGTGGTGAGTTCCAGCCCGAAGTCGGGTTCTGTACTGACAGCTCAGAGCCTAGAGCCTGCTTCAGATTTTGTGCCTCCCTGTTTCTCTGCCCCTCCCCCACTTATGCTCGGTCTCTCTCTCTCTCTAAAATAAACAAACATTTTAAAAGATTGACAGAGAGATCAGAAGGGAGCTCATGTTATTTCACCACCTTTTAGGAATACTAAATGGTCTGTGTTTGATAATAGCTTTAATAAAATCAGATAAACAGAAAAGATGAAACTTCTCTGGTTTATTTACTTATTTGCATTTCTAATGATAATTCAGAGAAGGCTGTATTTGCAACCATGACAGAATCTTAATTGGGAAACAAAATTAAACCTCCTTTCAAGGAAGGATAAAAAATTCTGGGATATTCATAATATAAAATGTTGGTCGGCAATAGGGAATAAACTACTGATACAACATGATTCATCTCTAAAACATGATGTTGCTTCAAAGAAGACAGTTGAGGGCCTCGTGATTTCCATTTATGTGGAGTTCAAAACCAGGCAAAACTAACACGGCAGAACAGTGATCCCCCTTGGCAGGAGGAATGAACTGGAAGGGGGTGAAAGGAACTTCAGTGATGGAAATGTTCTCTGTGTTGATGTGGGTGTCTACATAATTGTATAGACTGGACAAACTCATTGTAAAGTTATATGTATTCCACTGGATATACATTTTACCTTAATAAAAAATTCCTCTTGTACACAAGTTCTGTCTGCTGGACATTCTTTACAAATAGTAATTAACTCCTAAGAATCTAATTCTTTCAAAAATTTCTTTTTCTGAAAATTTAGTGTATTTCCCGGGGAAATAAAGCTTGGTAATGGAGAGATTGCTTTTATTCTAAGTAATTTGTGAAATCTACAAGCCAACACAAAATACTCGAATACTTCGGGGCACCTAGGTGGCTCAGTCGGTTAAGCATCTGACTTCAGCTCAGGTCATGATCTTGCAGTTTGTGGGTTTGAGCCCCATGTTGGGCTCTGTGCTGACAGCCTACAGCCTGGAGCCTGCTTCAGATTCTGTGTCTCCCTCTCTCCCCTCCCCTGCTCATACAGTCTCTCTCTGCCTCAAAAATAAACATAAAGACTTGACTACTTCAATTAAAAGGGGTTAAATCACCATAGTAAATCTCAATATAATCACACAATAGAATGCAAAATAGGTTGAATATGTAATTTTTCCCATTCCCTCTCTAGCTAAACTTTTACCAGTAGACTTAGATAATCAGTAGCCTCACTCTTAAACCAGAGAATGAAACTTTTTTCGTAAAAATGCTTTAAAATTAAAACTCATATCATTAAGTTTGAACTACTTTTACTGCTTCTTTATTTGGGCACTGAAGTGAAATGTTTAAGAGATCAAAGGTAAGATGGGTTACGAAAATGTGCAACGAACATTAAATGGGACCCAGTGCACAGTGAGAGGGGGAAAAGTTTTTGCATTTTTTTTTTATCTTCGAGCAAGAGAGGGGGAAGGGGGCAGAGGAGGGGAGACAGAATCCCCAGCAGTATACATGCTCAGCACAGAGCCCAACATGGAGCTTGATCCCACGACCCTGGGATCATGACCTGAGCTGAAATCGAGTCAGATGCTCAACTGACTGAGCGACCCAGGCACCCTTAACAGAAGGATCATATCATAAAAAATAGTACTTGATGGGGCGCCTGGCTGGCTCAGTCGGGAGAGCATGCGACTCTTAATCTCTGGTTCATGAGACCAACCCCAGTTGGGTGTGGAGCCTACTTTAAAAAAATATATACGGTCTTATAAAAAATTACTAATTGAGCAACAGCACACTTGTCAGTTCCGAGGTTTTTGTTTCCTTGTTTTAACTATTTCTAGCAGAAAACAGGAAAATATTTCATGCAAGGAATTTGGGCACAAAGAGCCTTCAGAAACAATTTAAAGGAAATACATATTCATGGTAACAGAAATTTCACTTTCTAGACTGGATTTACAGGATGAATATAAGGAAACAAAAACACGTGCCACTGCAGTACAGGACTTTTCAAATTCGTCATGTATGGTCACAATGGCCATAAATGGTCAGAGACTTAAAATAGATGAGCTTGTCACTAAAGAGGTTAAAGACAAAGTATCTTCCAGAACCTGGTTTTTCCCACGGTCAAAGAAACTGCCGTTTTGTGGTTTTTTTTCAGGTCTTTTTAAATTCGGAAAACTTTAAACGTCTTTTATTGTAACCTGGCCATCATTTATCCTAGATCTCTCTACTTCTTCATTACAAAGCTACCGAGTCCAAGGTATTGATGCTCTTTTTCTGCTTTAAGACGCATCGATAGAACGGGTGTCTCTGAAACCACTTCCATGGGCCAGGAGATCTAGAATTCTCTCCAGTCAGCCTTTACACGCCGCAGTCCAGTGCCCATGAGTGGTTGGATGCCCAGACACATTTAGGCCACGGGGTTTGCCGTGCGGGGATGGTGATCCTGTCCCTAAAGAGCAGAAACGTGTTGACCCCTGTGGTTACTCACAAGCCACTTAGAACTTTCCTAATATGAACCCCTGCTTTAAGAGCAAGCTTTAATAGCAAGCCTTTAAGACTCATTCATGCCAAACACCTGTACTGCAGACCGATTCCCAAAACCTGTCACCTAAGATTGTTTAAGCAAGAACTCATTGTCTCACAGAGACAAAGGAATATGCAGGAACATACTGTTGCCATCCCCCGAACCACTGTGTTTACTGCCTCTCTACCATTAATTTCTTCTCTCTGGGCCCTTCCTTTCTTGAATGTTACTAAACATCCTGAACATAGAGGTTCGTACTTGTGACGGAATCCCTGATGGCTCCCCAACTCTGTTCATGTAAAAACCATGTACTGTGATATTTATGATTAGGCACCTCGGACTTCCTACATGGCTGTTGTTAAGACTCAGTCAGGTGGGCCATACGGAGGCCTTTGCTTACCATGTGCGAGCAGACCACACATGTGCAAGTTCCTCGGTCAAAGAGCTGAGGGGACCCGTCCACATCCGCTGCTAGATAGTTCCAGGCCCTGAGGCAGGAAGAAATGATGTGAAGAAGGGACAGAAACACACAGGGTATGACAGGATAGGCAACTGTAAACACACAGACAAATCCTTCAAAAGGGAAGATGACAATCTTTATTGTTATTACAAAAGCAATTTTTTTTTTTTTAACTTCAGTCATTTGAATAATTGCAAGAGCGACTAGGGGCTTAATCCTCACACAGGCATCAAGTCAGGCACAGTAGGTAGCTACAAATCGTAAGAAAAAGGTTTCTCTACCTTGGATTCCCACCGTTCCTACCTAGAGAGCATTCTGCCACGCTTTGGAATCAGGTTAAAAACCCCAGCAGACCTACTCCGTTCCCTTGAATTCTCTGGCTTTTTTTTTTAAAAAATGAGAGCTAGGTATTGTCCTATGCTGTCTAGTAAAACCTAGTCGCTAAATCCTGGCCTGAGAGAGATCCCCATTTCCTTTAGAACAGAAGAAACTTGTCAACTCAGGGGAGTCCATTTCTGAGAGCCCAGGGGGGTCCCTAAAACGCAGACCTTGGGCTCAGAGCGCAGGTGCACCTCAAGCATGTGGATGGTCCCCTGAGGAGCGCGGGAGCCCCGGGCAGCGGGAAGGAGGCAGCAGGGACTCGGGGGGACGTGCGGAGCCTCGGGAAGCACGAAACGTCCTTCCACCTTGGCTGGCCACAGACCTGAGGTTTCCAGTGGTAGGTTTGAAAGGGCACAGTGGCGTGTGTGGCAAGGTAGAAAAGACAGTTCCCATTCCGACGGCTGCTTGCAAAATTCCGCCTCATCGGACGTGGTGCCTATCCGCTTTTCCCTGATGCTGGAGAACGTACCAGGTTCTCCTGTCCACTCCCCCACCTCCAGGCGCTGAGAACATTCCTTAGTAATTGGCTCGGCTAGCATATTACTGTTTCAAGGAAGCATCGGATTAGAGGTATGTGAAATAGCGTATTGACTGAAGGGAAGTCTCAGTATGTTCTAGGATACCAAAAGTCAACAGTACCCTAGAGCCCAAACCATCACAGGTTGAACCAAACCTCCCCGATCTGAATTCTGGCAGTAAATTGGTTCAAATGGAATCCACTCAACTGTCGCGAGGCAAATAAAAACAGTTCCGATTCCACTCACTAGGAAATCTAATCTAACCAACTGACGGCTAAATTGAAACCTACCAAGAAGTCGTCTGAGTTGTGCATGTGAAATTACATTTATTTATTTACCAAGCGGCTGCCACGGCGATCTCTGAAGAAGCAAAGCGTGGACGTATTAGACGGCATCGTGCTAGGGTCACTGAGAAAGGAGGTGGAGGAAATAGAAGCCATGGCATTTGGAGACAGAATATCGTCCCCTAAATCCTTCTGACTGCCGTCTGCCTCACGCACGTCTGTGAGAGGATTACTAGCACAGTTTCTCTGAGAAGGTAGGCCAACCCTGTCCAGAACATCAGATCGTTCAACAGTCCGCTCTAGTGCAGCAAACCAGAATGTTCACAAAGGGTTTTAAAGGTTTCATCACAAAGGGTTTTAAAGGTTTCAAAGTCGCCGGATGGTCAGAGCGGTCCTAAGAACGATCTGCCCCTCGACTACCTGAAGTCCCTCCCCAAGGCAGCGAAGCCATCAGGGACGCAGTGGCGAGGCTGTGAGGAAGGCTGACAGCAAGGAAGGCAGCTGAAACGCTGCCCCGTGGGACCGTCCTCACAGACCGCGGAGCGGTGACAGCCGGGGACTAGTGTTCCCGAAGATGCCAGGGAGTCTAGCGGGCTTTTGTCAAGAGTTCATCACGGAAGCAGCGTTTGACCGCAGGCTCACCTTGTTCTTGGGTTGCAAAACCACATCTGATGGAAAGTATGACCCCAAATATCCCGCAGCACTTCCGTCACGGTCCAAGCGCATCGGCCCCTTCAAAGTCCATCGCATCCCGGAAAAGCCGTTCTCGTGACCAGTGTGAATTACCACTCGTTATGGCGAACCGCCTGTACTTTCACAACTTACAAAGGTCTGATATCCGGGTATCACAGATTTCAAGACTTTCAGTTCCAAACAAAGAAATACGCACGGGCTTCATTATTCACGAACACTTTACTCTCTGTCACCTCGTTTCATGGCGACAGCTGCTCGGTCCGACTCTTTGGGTTTGGTTTTACGTGGACTTTCGCTGGACAAGTCCTTTTTGGCAAATTAAAGACAAGAAACAGATGCTAGCTTTACCCCTCTCCCGCAGTCAAGGGTGGAAAATGGCAGTTACTTAAGATGTTCATTTCAAGGATAGCTTTCTTGTCTTAAATTCATTAATTTAAAAAACTATGAATAATCAAGCATGAAAGTTGTATCCAGAACACGAATGCAAAGAGATGCAAAGAAAGTTGTGATTCTAACGTATCTACGCCAAAGCCAGAGAACAAACTGTTTCGGTCTGTATCACCCTCATCTGCGGTCAGCTACCCTGTGTTTGCACCGTCAGCCACAGCAGCACACGTGCGCTTGCAGAGAACAGAACGGCAGCACAGGAACCCGAACTGCTTTGGAAGGGCCCGGCATCGCCCACGGCCAGCTCCCTTCACACGCTGCATTTCCCCAACCAGGTCACCGGCCAGGGTCACCAGGAGTTTAAAATCCATCAGCGCTCTTCGACGCGCGCGCACTTCCCGAAGAACTTCAAAGCCCACAGAACGTAAGGTGGTGGTTAAATTAAACAGTGAGGTTTCTTTTAAAGCATCTGATTATTTGCACAAATGTAAAACGAATCCGGTGAGATCTTTCTTTCGTCATTTTACTTATCTTCGTGATGTTTTCTTTTTGAGACGTAGGCCCTCCACAGCCGGCATCCGTTCGTCTTGCGGCAGAGTCTTGGCAACGTGTGCCTGATATTCTAGAAGTGTAAATGTTGTAATAGCAAACAGAACTGGTTTTCAAAAATGAGTTCAGTTTAAAAATGGAAATCTAGTTTTGGAAGTAATTTCAACAACTCTTACGCGTTTAAAGATTCATTAAAATCTAGGCAACTGCTATTCTGTTCCTATTACCTTGGAAGTACAAAAAAGAAGCGTTAAGTACGGATTAGACCTCCCCTATTTCCCCGAAAAATAAAAGCCCAGAGATTTGCAGACATAGTAAAATTTAGCTAAATTTCATGCACTTTAATAGCCACGAGTATGGTTCTAGGGAGCTTTAGGGCAAGAGCTTTGCTCCGTCCCTAAGGTACAGCCTCGTTCATGAAATGCATGGTAATGCGAAAGTTAAGAGAACAGGATTAGATTAAGGTTTATATTTTGTGACTGGAAATACAGTCTGACTAGGCTTTTCTTTTCTGAGGAAGATTACAGGGCACACTACATTAAATACACAATTACAAAGTATCTTATTTCGAGATAAACCACAGTCTAAAAAGAGGTCAGGTCTTTGACAAACGGCAACACTGAAAATCAAGGGCGGCGGGGGGGTGGGGTGGGGGGCTTCCCAGGAAACGCAGAAAGCGGCTCTTCCATTTCCCACTTAACTCTCGTTAAAAATTTCAAAGTCACGACAGCTGCAGTCGAAAGTCAGCCTTCCATCTAAAACCCCCCACAATGCTCCAGTGTGGCTCTTCCAAATTACAGGTTAGCAAATTTCAGCTTTGTATTTAAGAAAACAGTCAGTTTCAAATAATAGAAAAACGTCGATACTGTGCTTGATCCACTGATCACTGCTAACTTCCGTCCGTGCAGATTCGGGTGGCTCTAAATAGGTGTTCGTTTATAGTTGCTGGACGAGATGCAGCTTTCGCCAGCAAGGATCATCCAGCCTTTAAAATTACCGACACAGATAGTAAACGGTGTCGTTTGTAGAAGTGGCACTTGCGACTGATACGGGTTTTCATACTAGATGCATGCAGCTCTTATAAATACTAAAGGAGGCATTTTTTGCCAGGTCTCAACATGCTGTCTTTATTGCAAATTCCACTAATTTAACGAGTGAATGGAATTTTCCGTAGGGGTACAATTTCATTATGCTTTACTTATAAAAACGACAGTATGCTGTTCTTTAACTTTAAGACAACTTACTGTGTCTAAGAAGTCGTGTTAAAATACAAACTGGCGGAACGTAAGGGACAGACCTACGAAAGCAGTGTCACCGTCGCATAAAGGCGTTTAACTGTATGTATGCATCAGCCATCAAAAGGAGGGGTCCAACGAGTTCTTTCCTTTAATACAAACACGAACTTCGTTTGTAAATGCCTCATTTAAAGTAGTGGATAGGGGAAGGAGTTTAGAAAAGTCCAAGCAATAAAATGTACTCAGTTACTTGGTAAGTTAAAAAGCTAATGCAACAATGTTACATCCAGGTAAAAAATATTATTCAAAAGCAATTCAAATACCGAAAAGGATTTCAAATTGAATATTTTATTAACATGGTAGTTGTCTCTGTAACATGTGCACACACACTCGCACACTCAGAATGATCTGCCTCGGGGAAAAAGACTAAGTAGGTCTAAGGGGAAGATGAAAAATAAAAAAAATTCCGGTAAGTTTTCATTATTGTAGGCAATTATGTCCACATCACTTACAAAGCTATTGCCAAATCTGTCCAAGGAAGCAGAGTTTGGGAGGGGAGGGGAAAAAAACCTGGGGGAAAATTCAACAGTGGCATAGCAGAGCTCTCAATATGAGAAAGCTGACATTATGTGGACTTTTGCTGTGAATTTCGTCTTTGCAAAATATGGGGAGAAGTTTGTCAATGGGCAGAAAATGAGAGAAGGCGGTGTGAAGTAGGCTTTTGCAGTCAATTTTCCTCACAGTACTGTGCAGGATCATCAAGAAAATGCTTAGTCTTTCTCTGGAACCAGTTTCAGAACTTTTCCAATTGCAATGGTTTTACCTAGAAATGAAATTTAAAGAAACACAAACAAAAACCCTTTTCAGTAGTTAACAGCAAAGCTACGTGAGGTATTAAAGCTGATTACTGTAAAACATAAAACTATTTTTCACAATGCAAATTACTGACTGGCTTTACCACCAAAGGTGTGATTTCTCATCAGGTCGTCTCAGTAAGTGGATCTTTGGAGGGTGGGGGGAGCCGAAAAGAAACTACATTTCCTGTTATCACAAACTTGTGTGTGGACAAGTAAATCGTGGAGCGCCTGTACCATGGCATACTATTTGGCAATAAAAAGGAGTGAATTACATACGTGTCCTAACAGAGCCGAACCTCAAAAACGTGCCAAGCAAAATAAACTAGATACTAACGACCACAAAGCGTATGGTTCTATTTATACGGCACGTCCAAAAAAGGCAGAGAGGGAAAGATTTGTGGTTGGCCGGGAAGCGGAATACCAAGCGACCGTAAACAGGTGTAAGGGCTGTTTTTGTTTTTTTTAAGATGTTGTGAATATTCCACAATCAGAATGTGGTCATGACTGTACACCCTGTAAACCTGCAAAAATTCATGAAATCGTACACTGAAAACAAGTCAATTTCAACGTATATAAATTCTCTCAATAAAGCTGTTAAGAAGGGTTCTCAGTCCTATTTCAAGAGGAACGAATCCCATCAGGTCACGTGAAGAACTTAAAAGCCAAGCACCTCCTTAGGAAAACAAGTAACTCTGGGGTTAAACACTTTTGCTAGGTTACTTTCTTCTGGCCGACTGATTTTTATCAGGTTCTAACCGGCAACTAAGGTTCTCATTTTGTTATGTGAACAGGACAAACCCAGTGACCAGCTTCACTAGTACTAGATACAGACTTTAAAATAAAATGGAGCCAGTCTCCGTACAGATTTCTCTGAAGGAAGGTTCAGGAACTGGACACATTGTGTTCCCCATGCTCTGCACAGCTGCTGACACGCAGGAGACACATCGTTTTTTGTCCAACAGAACCGGGACTAACTGAGCTGCCGATTCTGTATCTCAGCTGAGCCACAGTGTTTTATGTAAGGTTTTCCACCGTCTTAAACTTAGTTACCTAAGTCAGAAATACTAATCAGCCACAGGGAGCCATTTACTAAGAGCCGCTGTGTTTTCATGCTACCAAAGACTTTCACGGCCACAAGACAGGAAAAGCACAGTTGTTCAGATTCACTGAGAAGTAGGCAGAAGGACACCCACACTCACATAAAAACGCTACTAAACCTCTGTAAAAATTAGGTGCTAAAAGACCATCAGCTTCTGTATCCCTTTTATCCCCCCCCCCCAATATCCATGTAGTGAATGTTTTATCAGACTTCATTTTCAAATGTCTTCTGACCACAGAAATGACAAGGTTTTACTGCAGAGGCTCGTATGGCAAAAAACGTGCCTTCCAGGGTTAAGCCCTCCAGGATGGGCTTTAATCACTCACGGTACAAAGGATTTCCTCAGAGAAGGTCTTGCTTAGTAAATAAACTAACTCTCAACGCCCGCTCCTTGCAAGAGATCAAAATTAAGATTCTTACAACTACAGCACATACTGCTAAAACGCACGGCCGATTCTGTCTGCTGTTCAATTCCCTCCACTCACAAAACGTTACAGGAATCTGTCACAAAACACGCACCCAAGTTTTCTACAAACTCGTGATGCGTGCGGTACTCTTACCCTCATCCCTTAAGGTAAAGCGCCCCATCTGAGGGAAGTCTTTGAAGGTCTCAAGGCAGATGGTTCCCGCCGTCCTTAAGCGAGCAATGCATACTTGATCTTGTTTCACGAAACGGGGTCGGGTCTTACTTTTCTCTCCTGATTTTTTGTCTACCAAGCAAATTAAGGCCTGTCCAAGAAAGAAGGAGGAGGTCACAACAGTGCCGAGTGAAAGAACCTTTAAGACAAGGAGTGCAGATACAAGTGCCTCACTGGTGCCGATCCGACATGATCAAGATGAGACGGTCTCCGAACCCATACACAAAGCCCCCGGTGCCCTTAATGATCAAAGAATTTCGACTCACTGTTATTTCGACTTCCTCAATGCAGGTGTGAATGTGCAGCACCGCGTTATAGCCTGGGCAGATGATGGACTTGTGCTCTATGATCACTATCTGTCAAACAAAACAATGCACATCTTTATCCCTGGGGTGAAACAGACCTGACCGTCCTGCAGAGCCGCTTCGTACCACCGGAATGCGGAACTCACCATCTCGGCAGGACACCAACTGAACTTATTTTTGAGTTAGAAGTGCTGGGTCAAGCGGCCTGATGTCCAAGCGTGACCGCGGAGATGTTTCCCCTACCCATCTTCTAGGCCACAGCCCGACTTTAGAAACCCAGCAGGCAGACTACCCGAAGAAGCCTGTCTCTCCAAGCCATCTCCACCCCGAGGAGTGAAGGAACTCACTGGCACTGCAGCTGGTTCTCATTTGTTTTGTTCCAGCTGTGAGCTTCACAGTTTTATCCAATTCTCAATGACTAAGGCCCAGCAGAAGTAAACAGCCTCGTACCCAGCATCAAAACCTATCCTGCCTAGTCATAGGAGCTCGTGACAGAACTCGAAAATTCTGTGAGCTACGCCAGTCGTGCTCCGTCATCCCTGTGGGGAGGTCACGTAGCTAAGACCACGGACACCCTGTGTCTTCATGTCTGGAAGGGGACTTACTCTGAAGAAACAGACACAGCCTCATTTCCAAGGTGGCTGTGCTCTCCTCAAGGGAAGGACGCTCTGAGCAAAATGTTAAGTCGTAATACTTCTTACCAACAGGTGACCAAAAATAAAAAGGAACTTCCGAAGAATACCACCTCTTGAAGACCGGGTGTGTGTGAGACATCGCGGTGGCCGTGATATGTATGTATGACCTCCCCTATCTCATTCCCCTGCTACACACGATGGAGGGGCACCAGTGATCAGGCAAAGAGCATTTACATTCTGATTGCACGTGGAGGGTGAAGACCGCTAAGGCAATTACAATGACTAGTCTACCTGGGCATCAAATGTGCGTCCAGAATGACAAAGATTATTAGGGTCACAAAGGATGAATCCTGGGAGAATCTCTTCCTCTTCAATTCCTTTCAGTCGGATTTTGAGGTTTTCACCTGGGGCTACAGAATCAGTTTCTACATCATCGGAAAGGATTCCAAGAACTTCCACGTTGTGCTTGAAAACAAAAAACAAAAAACAAAAAAAACCACATGCAAATAAACCCCAAACTGGAGGTTTTTGGACACACACGCTGCATGGCAGAATGTAACGTGATCCGAATGGTCCCTTCAAGCCACATTTTCCTGCAAATCGTGGATGAGCCAGAACGTTTATTAACACTGAATCTAACATCTGGATTTGAATTTGATGAACGTCATTTTTATTACGATGATTACATTCTAGGATTCCAAAGGACACCGTTTCTACTACCTCTCAACCCCAGATATCCGAAGAGTGTACGTCTCCAAAGTTTTCTGAACAATTAAGCTTTGAAAGAACAGTCACTAGGGGCACCTGGGAGGCTCAGTCAGTTAAGCGTCTGACTTCGGCTCAGGTCATGAGCTCACGATTCAGGAGTTCGAGGAGCCCCGCATCGGGCTGCGGTCTCAACGCAGAGTCTGTCTGGGTCTTCTGTCTTGCTCTCTCTCTGCCCCTCCCCTGCTCTATCTCGACAATAAACATTAAAACTATATACATTAAAAAAAAGAATACCGACTAATGGGTACAGAATTTCCTTCTGGGATGTTGAAAACGTTCTGGAACTTGACAGTGGTGACAGCTGTGAATGTACCGAACGTCACGAATGGTAAAACTGCCATCTCTTACCAGTTACTTAAAAAAGAGCATACCGGTGGGAAAAAGTGTGAAAAGCAATACCCACAAGCGTTGCCTTACTTTACTCCGTCTCTGCCCCTGGAGAGAATTCGTCTTTTTAAAACACACACCCCAAAACAAAACAACCTGGTGACGGCAGGTGAGGGGCGGCGAATCCAGAATGCACTCTTCCCCCCGCCGCGGCGGGCTCAACTCCAGCCTCTCCCCTCCCCGACCCAAAACGCTCTCCTTTCCCAGAAGGCAGCTTAGACCTTTTTGACAGCTGTCGAAATTCCTTCCAAGAAGTGAGATGGAGCCAGATTTGTTAGCTAAAGTCTTTACCGTAACAGGACAAAGGGGCAGAAACCAGCAGTCCCACCGCACACAAACTAACAAGTACTGTCTGCTACTTTCTGTCCAATGATCCAGCGGGACAGTCCCTCTCCCGAACACACTCTTCTACGGCTTAACGCAACGCTGCCAGTCCAATCTTTAAATTAATCCAGTTTCAAAAATTAAGACAGAGGCCAACAAATTCTCTTGGTTTATGAAAGGTAAGGGGCACCTGGGCGGCTCAGTCGGTTAAGTACCCGACTTCAGTCATAGCCACGATCTCATGGTTCCTGAGTTCGGGCCCCACATCGGGCTTGCTGCTGTCTACCTGTCAGCACAAAGGCTGCTTGGGATCCTCTGCCCCCCTCTCCCTGCCCCTCCCTTGCTTGCACGGACTCTCTCAAAAAGTAAGGAAAAAAAAAAAAAAAGGCACTAAGGATTGTCTGCTCTAAATACCTCACCTAAGTGGAATCATACATCATTTATCTTCTTGTGACCGGCTCCATTCACTTGGCACAAGGCCCCTGAGGCTCATCCATGCTGTAAGCCTATGTCAGAAAAGCTGAATGACAGTCCATTGTATGTACAGACGTTTTGTTTGTCTCATCGGTCAATGGCCACGATCGGCTGCTTCTCCATTTCATCTTTTGTAAGCGGTGCTGTGGATATCGGTTCTTGGTTCTTCGAGGTCTGCCTTCCATTCTTTCGGGCACATGTCCTGACGTGGAACTGCTGAATCGTGTAATTATTCTATTTTTAAAATGTGGAGCAAACATCGTTACGTTTTGGCATAGCCGCTGTGCACGCTTACATTCTCGCCAACAGCGTACGAGGGTTTTCCAATTTCTGCACACCCTCACCGACATCTGCTATTTGGGGTTGTGATTGTGACGGTAGCCATCCTGATGGGTGCAAGGCGCCGTCTCGCTGTGGTTCCGATTTGCATTCCCCTGATGATCAGGGACGCGGACATCTTTTTCAGGTGCCTGCTGACCAGCTGCACAACTTCGGAGACAGGTGTAAGACCCCTGCTCATTGTTTAGTCGATTGTTTTCTTTTTTTTTTTTGCGGACTTGTATTTTTTTTTTTTTTTAATTTTGAGAGACAGCAGAGCGTGAGCAGGGGAGGGGACAGAGGGAGATGGAGAGAATCTTCCGCAGGCTCCAAGCTCAGTGAGGAACCCAACCTGGAGCTCGATCCCATGATCCTGGGATCAGGGCCTGAGCCAAAATCAAGAGTTGGACACTCAACCAACTGAGCCAACCAGGCAGGTACCCCGTAGTGCTTGATATATTCTGGATTTAACCCCTTCGCAGATTAATGATATACAATTACTTTCTCCCATTTTGTAGGTTACCTCCCCATTAATTTTTAACATAAGATAGGCATCTGTGTCTTTTAAAATATTGAACTGTGTTCCACGGAGACTCAGCAGGACTAAAGCGAACGGAGTTTTTAAGGCTTCCCTAACGGCCACAGCCCTGCTACAGCGACCTGCCCAGCAAGCAGCTGTAACGGGCCTACGAGGACGCCTCCCCTATGGCTAGGGCCTGGTACTAGGTCACTTGCTCACAGCAGACTGTACTTTTCTTTCTGTTGTGGTGGCACACTCATGAAGTTTACCTTTTTCAGCCACTTTCCATTGTACAATTCAGGGGCAGCCACTTGTCATTTCACAATGTTGTACAACCATCACCAGTTATCTAGCTCCAGAACATCTTCATCACCCCAAAAGGAAACTGTGCCTTTCATTAACCAGTCACTCCCCATTCTCTGTCCCCTCACCTCTTGGAACCACCAATCTGCCTTCCATCACCACGACCAAACTACTCGTGTGACTGCTCTACGGATTTACAATGAGCACTATTTTCATTTGCTGTCCCTGACATTCAACTGCAGCGATAAATACCTTGGTAAAAAGAGACCAGGAGAGGCTACTCCAGTCTCCAATGCATAAGGTATCAAGAAACCTCAAAGTACAATTTGTAAGGCGCCAATTATACCTAAACGTTACAGTGGCAAGGGATACTTTTCCTAATTCACTGTGCCTAGAATAAGCATGGTGAAGAAATTCTCCCTTAAACCCAACAAAATCTCTATTTGGAGGTTCTGATGGCTCAGGCCTACTTTCCTACACAAACATCTTAGGAGCTGGGAGAGAAGGCCGCTTTGGGAGGCAGGTAACAGTTCCTTAGTTACATATCTGTCATTATCAGCAACTGAGCAGTCAGACGTAACACAAAGGAAGAATTCATGGGGGTTCTGCGTGTTTGAATGAAACCCTCTCCAACAGTAAACAACTTACAAAATGATAGGAAGAAAGAATTCACACGAGACTCATTTACGATTAAGGCAAACCCTCTTCTCTAAAAACAGATAAGGAACACAGATGGGATACATTATTTTATAGTATCCAATGTAATTATGTACAAGAAGAAGAAAAAAAAAAGGCCAATGATACCATGGTTAAACCTGACTCTTTGTCCCTGGCTTGCTCGATAACCCAATGTGTTAAGAGCAACAGGTCACTTAACCACTCCAGACCCCTACCTGCCTCTTGTGAAAGAACAGAGGCAGAGCTGTCTTGATAAACCTTTTAGCTCTAACATGGTGCCGGCCCCTCCCCATCTGTCACTGGGTCACTGTAATACCACTTACTCTGTAGTAAACTGTGCACATGATGTTAATAAAATGTAATCATGGATTTTAAAAGTTTTCTTTTAACGGAAATCCCTAATTTTTTTTAAAAGTTCCAGCTCCTTGCTACTGTTTTCAAGACGAAATCCAAATAAGACCATTACTAATTCTTACCTTGTTTGGCATCATCACAAGCTGCTGGCCTTTACAAATAGATCCTGATTCCAGCTTTCCCAGGACCACGGTGCCCATATCCTGTTTAAATTCGAAATTAAAAACACGGAGTTGCAGACTTTTATTACTATTCTACAACAGTTCAACAACCCCAAGTGAAATCTTATGGGGCTTACTCATAAAAGAAAATCTATAGCTCAAGTGGCAGAATGCTTAGGACTAATCTTAAACACGGGACAAGTAACAAATATTCCATATTGTTTGTCATCAGCACATGTACAGTTGTAACACTAAGAAGGATGCCTGACATCTAAAAAGGCATGCTACTGGAAACAGCACAGAATTTTACATATGAAGATCTGAATTATTTGTTTCAATTCACTCTGATTCTCTGAAAATCTGAGCCTGCTTCCTCATACAAAAAATTAGAAAAATACTTGTTCAAAAATGTAGCATGGAGCTACTGACAGGATGAAGTATTTGAGGAGGGCAAAGCATGACATCGATAAAACTTCCAAAGTGCGCTGCTGAGGCTGCGGTCCGACCAACACTCACATACTCTGCTCCCAGTATCTGGAAGGCTACTGGTCAGTATCCATCAACCGTAACGTGTAAATCCTCTGCCTCCAGCAGTTTTTCCCTGTGTGACTTTCTCTCTAAAAAATGATTATTGGCTTAGTGGGGAACAGCTTAAATGAAGTAGGCTGGCTGATTAAATAGCGATCCATCTATATCACTAAACAACATATGGCCACTAAGGAAGACCTCCAGGGGCGCCTGGGTGGCTCAGTCAGTTAAGCCTCCGACCTCGGCTCAGGTCATGATCTCACAGTTCATGGGTTCGAGTCCCATGTTGGGCTCTATGCTCCCAGCTCGGAGCCTGGATCCCGCTTTGGATTCGGTGTCTGCCTCTCTCTCTCTGCCCTTCTCTCACTCCCTCTCAAAAAAAAGAAATAAACATTAAAAACAATAAAAAAGAGAGACATCTATGCTATGTTGTTAATTATCAGGACTGTTTCATAATGTAAAACACAAAACAATGACTTCACCTCCCATAAAACCCAATTTCTTGAACATTCAGGGTACCTTGTACTTATCCACAATTGGCAGCCTGATTGGTCCATCAACTGATCTATTGAAGTTTGGCAGATTATCCAAATACGGAATAAATGGCAAACCACTGAAAACATAATAATATCCATTAAAGAGCATCAACAGAAGTATTAAAATTTTAAGAAATTACAGGACTGTAACTTTATACAAAAAACAGTTCTAATAATACTTCCATTCTACCCACGTACTCGCTCATTCAACCAATTTATTATCCAGTTCATTTCCTTCATTCTTCAGAAAACGCAAAAAATAACAAAATAGTTCTATAATATACAATATATTACAATAAATATTATATAAATATAATAAAGCTTCCTCATAAACTTAAGATTTAGAAAATATTTTATAGCAAATGGCCTACATAAATTGGCTACATTCTGCTACTTAATTTTTATGGACTTTTCCAGCTCTAAAATCAGGATTCTATAAAATCAGTTCCTCTGTAACGCTACAGTGTATGAATTGGGAGGCTTAATACTGCCAAGACAGCAATGCTCCCCAAAGCGATCTACAGATTCAGCACAATCCCCATGAACATCCCAGCTGCCTTTTGGAACAAGGTGACAAGTTGATGTTAATGTTCGTGAAGATATTCAGGGGACCCAGAAGAGCCAAAACCACCTTGGAAAAAAAAAATAATAATAGTAATACTAATAAAATTCAGAGACACTTCCCAATTTGAACAACTCACAAAAGCTCAGTAATCAAGACTTTAACAAAAAAAACGAACCCAAAATGCAGCAGACATCTAACTGTAAGAGCTAAAACCACAACAGGTTTCGAAGAAAATAGTGTGGCTCAGTCTTCATGCCTGAGTTAGGCAACGTTTTCCCAAGTATGTCCCCACAAGCACAACCAACAAAAGAAAACACAGACTGGATTTCATCAAAATTAAAACCTTTTGTGCTTCAAAGGACACCGTCCAGAAAGGTGTCCCCGAGGAGAAAATATCTGCACATCATTTATCTGATAAAGGACTTCTACTCGGTACATAAAGAACTCTCCCAACTCAATTAACAAAAAGACAACACAATTACCAAATGGGCAAAGGTCACGGTATTTTTGAAGCCGAAGTCAGAGAAAGTATTTACTGAGATTACTTATAAAGACATAAATTTTTTCTAAACGGAAGCAAAGGTTACTTACGTGTACCAAGGGCAGAAATCTGATTGCTCTTTAAGATTTGCTCCGGTCAGTCCCGAGCAGGGCATAAAGTGGATGTCCTTTTTGGGATTGAACCCAACTTTCTTCAAAAATGGCACTAGTTTCTCTTTGCACTCTTCATATCTATGAATATTTATGAATAACTCCATTATAATATGAAACAAGTGAACTCCAGTTTCATTATTAAACACATTAAGGTTAAAAAATTTTTTAATGTTTATTTATACTTTTGAGAGAGACAGAGACAGAGCATGAGAGGGGGAGAGGCAAAAGGAAGACAGAATCCAAAGCGGGTTCCGGGCTCTGAGCTGTCAGCACAGAGCCCGAGGCGGGACTTGAACTCACGAACCGCGACATCGTGACCTGAGCCAAAGCCAGACATTTAAACCCACCGAGCCACCCAGGCGCCCCCGACAAATTAAGGTTTCAGAAAAACCGCAGGGGCAAACAGCACTCGGTCGCAAAGCCACCCTCTGTCCCACTAAGATGCCCGTACAGACCAGGAAGACGGCAAAGCTCACCTCTCGCTGCTCCAGTTCACTGTTGGGTCATCCATCTTATTAATGAGCACGATCAAGTGCTTCACACCTGCCGTCTTTGCCAACATCGCGTGTTCCCTCGTCTGTCCGCCCTTCTCAAATCCAGTTTCAAACTCTCCCTTCCTAGCAGAGATGACCTATTCCAAGAAATCCGAGAGTTTACTCTTACACATTCATGTCTACCCTCCGAGTAACGGGGTATCTTTCCTTTCAGTTTTATTGAAGCTTTTTGCAAGAAAATAAAAATGAGTTATAACATGCATGCTTTTGAACATCCCGATATCTAAATGGCTGAAGATTTTGGTACACGTTTGTACCGATCCCCTAATTTTCCAAAATCTAGCACGCCTTTATAATTGACAATTCACACCTGCATGTGACTTAGTGCCGGCACATGGACAAAGTGAACGACCCTGCAAAATGCCCGAAGGCCGTGAGAAAACACATCATTTCTTATTCAGTTTTGTACCCACTGCACATGGGAAATGTGCAAAACGGATCAGGCATGAGACTGAGCAGACACTAAGTTCTGACACGGTCATAGATAGGAGTGACGGCAGAGAAAAGATGAAACGCTGTTTTCCTACGTGAATCCGATTACAAAGATTGCTTGAGAGCAGGTGAGACAAAAGTGACGTCTGTGACCGGAGGCTACAGCTCGCTGCAACCTGAGTTCTAGCTATTCGAGGGTAAAATCAAAACACTTCACCACGAAGCAGGGCTGCTACCAAATACACAGGTGGACCAGAAAGGTCTTTCTTACCAGAACAGCCAAATCAGCTTGAGAAGCGCCACCAATCATGTTTGGGACAAAACTCTTGTGGCCAGGGGCGTCCAGGATCGTGAAATGCTTCTTTTCCGTTTCAAAATAGGCACGGCCCACTTCGACTGTTTTACCCTTGTCTCGTTCTTCCTGATTTGTGTCTAAGGCCCAAGACAAGTACCTGAAGTAATTTAGAAATAGGAGTAATGTCACTAAGAACATACGAGTTTTTAAGATATTCTTCTACCGCTAAAGGTATAATGAGGACATCCAGCTTTATGTCCAGAATACAACATTTAAATCGTGAACAGGACAGCAGCGCCCGGCTGGCTCAGTTAGTGGATTGTGCGACTCTTGATCTCGGGGTTGTGAACTGGAGCCCCACGTTGGGTATGGAGATTACTTAAAAATTTTAAAAATCAAAAAAAAAAAAAAAAAAAAAAAAAAAATCACGGGGCGCCTGGGTGGCTCAGTCATTCGACATCTGACTTTAGCTCAGGTCACGATCTCATTATTTATGAGTCTGAGACCCACACAGGGTGAACTCAAGCCCCGCTTGGGTGAGCCCTGCTTTTTTCTCTGTCTCTCTCTCTCTCCTTCTGCCCGTCCTGGGATTCTCTCTTTCTGTCTCTGCCTCTGGCTTACTTGTGCGCTTGCTCGCATTCTCTCAAAAAAAAAAGAAAGAATAGGACTGGGTAGAAATGAAAATTGATAGAATAAAACTTTTATTATTGCGATTCAAACATTTAGAGCTTTTACAAATATCCAGGCAATTACAGGTATCCCATGATTTTTGAAAGTTCATGTTATGCCACTTTGCTTTTACAAACAACCTACCTTAGTACCTGTTCTTACAAACTGAAAGATACTCAAAGAGGATTTTTTTTTTTTTTTTTTTTTTAACGAAAAAAAGTGAAAAGCAAAACTAGCGTTCAGCGTTTGTTCTGCAGCGAAGGGCGAGACACCGCACTGAGCGGCCAGGGCGACACCACACACTTCTGCCCCAGGAGCCTCTCAGCATCTCTGCGTCAAGCTGTCGCAGCTTTGAACTGTGCCTGCGCATCTGGGCCGTATCGCCATTTATTGTGTGTATCCGTTAGCACAGATGAGTCCTGAGGTATCAGAAAAGCCCGAGAGATTATTCTCCGGGTCTGGGAATGCTCAAAAAATGTTTTCCTGGGGCGCCTGGGTGGAGCAGTCGGTTAAGCGTCCGACTTCAGCCAGGTCACGATCTCGCGGTCCGTGAGTTCGAGCCCCGCGTCAGGCTCTGGGCTGATGGCTCAGAGCCTGGAGCCTGTTTCCGATTCTGTGTCTCCTTCTCTCTCTGCCCCTCCCCCGTTCATGCTCGGTCTCTCTCTGTCCCAAAAATAAATAAACGTTGAAAAAAAATTAAAAAAAAAAAAAAAATGTTTTCCAGGTAAACCGATGACAATTGCTTCTTTGCTTCATGCCATTTTGGCTTACAAAAGATTTGAAAGGAACGTTCTACTTTTGGATATACAGGGGGAAAACCCGTATATATATATTCTATAAGCAAAGAGTATTTATGGAAACAAGCTGACTACACAGAAAGGCTACTTAGTACCAATGCCAATATCACTGTGAGTTCTTATAATCGCCTGGCACCAAGTATAATACAAGTAACGCTATCTAGGGATATTTTTCAAAAGTGAAAGACGTGAACAACCATCTGGGAGCAATGGTTACCTGCTAAAAATTATTCTGGTATTTCTTTGCCATGTGAAAACAATTTATGTAAGTTCAAAGCATTCATAATAGTACGTATTAATTTAGATAACTCATCATCTGTATTTCATAGTAGATAATCCATTCTTAGTACATTGATAAAGATCTTTTCCCTTAATACAGAACAATTAAAAAACAAAACAAAAACCATGAATGTCCCAGGTAAATCTGAACTTTTAAAAGAAAGGTAAAATTAGAAGGAAAAAAAAACTGACCCTTTCTCTCACCACTCAAAGGCAAGCACTGTCAATATTTCTGTCCACTCTTTTTTTCTTTCCAGGGTTTAATTTATGTCGTTACTGATCACATTCTAAGTAAGATCACGTCACCTGCTTTCTCCCCAAATTCCACTGTAACTTGAGTTCTATTTCTGGTTATCACAAATTCTATAAATGCAGTTTTTTTAGTGGTTAGGTAATGACCCCGTCAAATGGATGGTTTAGAATTTATCCCACGAGTCTATTACTGACACTTGGATGTTCCCAGGCTCCCTGTGTAGGCTCCGAAGTCATCCGGAGCCAATATACTGTGCAGTATGAGGGCAAAGGACACCTCTCCTGTATTATGACACCATCTCAGACCTCATGCGCTTATATCACAGGAGACTAGAGAAGCAGCAGGCAGGGTCTCCTTCAAAGTCATTTATCGTGCTGTCAAGGTATACTATACCAGGTTTCTCTGTTTTTTTCTTTAGCTTCTCTTTCATATTTCTCAAGTGTCCTTTTGTCAACCATTCCAGTCAAATACCTGCAATCAAAGAAAACAAAAGTAAACATTCCATTGCTCATAAATTACTCAGAGAAGTTTAGGAAAACTCTAAAGGTCTTTAGGGGAATTTCAACCCGAGAAAACAGCTATTTTAAAATAAAGGAACCACTGATGGATGCTCAAGCCGTGGAACGTTTCAGAGGAAAAGATATTTACATAGTCTCAAATTATCTCCCTACACTTAAAGGGGAAAAATAATAACTTTACAGTGGAGAATCCAGGCAGACAACACATGAACCAAGTAATCCTGGCTAATATGACCAGTAGTAGAGAAAACACACTAAAGGGTGCCTGGGTGGCTCAGTCGGTTAGGTGTCCAACTCGATTTCGGCTCAGGTCATAATCCCAGGGTGGTGGGATCGAGCCCCCTATCAGGCTCCACACTGAGCGTGAAGCCTGCTTGGGATTTTCTCTCTCTCTCTGC